AGTTGTAACTGGGAAAGCTTTTCTGTAGAAACTTGTCAATGCTTTTTTTAGCTGTTGATAAGATTTTTCTTCAAGCGAAGCCTAACCAATATTTTGTCACAGTATCCTCTATCCGCTCCTTCTTTCGGGGCTCAAGAACATCGACGAACTTCTGCCATTATTTCCATCGTAGTCCTATTTTCCATATTTCTTTTTTGCCGAGGTTCATGCCTCTTCAATTTCTGGTTGAAAAAAAGATATTGCTGGCGGTAGCTCCTATAGCTCAACACAAATACTCCAGCGTCTAGAGGCGTGATCGTGCTTCCAGAACCTAAAAGCCAAATCGTAACAGCGGAATAGTTGAAAGAAGCTCTGACTACGGAAAGATAGTAGAGAGCTATGGGAAACTTTGTCTTGCTGTTCACGCCAGTTCATCGTTTTCTGCAGAGCCCGTTTATATCTGAATCGTGTTTTCTGTTCTATCCCACCGCGGCCAACCCTGGATTCGCGATATTTCTTTCGATCTGAATTGAAGATGTAATATTTTTGCAACAGAATAATACCAACACGACAATGACTGTCAACTGATGACAGCGGGAGGACACACGCTTGACGATTCACGTCAGTTTCCCTTTTGCTTTGACCTGTCTCCTGTTTTATGTCTTCACGATCGTAGGCATGTTTAGCCTCATTTCTGTCTCATTTTCCTTTCCTGCATTGTGGCCGCTGTCGGTGTCATTGCTATTTATGTAGACCTATGTGTACGAACAACGCTGAGCTCTAGCAATGTATTCTGCGAACACAAATGCTGGTGCCGTCAATGTTGTTTTCTGCCGGCGCAAGAGCTTCGTTCGTTCCTAATCGAGACGCCATGCGTCTGCCACTATTATTGCCACCATCGACGGCTTCAATGCATTCACTCATTATGCTCTCGGTAGTACATGGAAGCCTTTAGGGGCATCGTTGCTTGTCATTACCTTGCTTCTTCCGCTATAGCTGGTAGCTTTACATAGAAAGAACGTGACATAGATATCGGGTAGATTAGGGTTGGTGTGGATAGTTGAAAAAAACTGGGCTTCGTACCATTCGGTCCCGGTGTTGATGCATCTTCGTCACAGATTTCTTTGACTTATCAGCAGTGTCACAAGTGGTACCTTGTCCCTCGATTTATTTTTTACTTAGTACGCATATGAAGTGTAGAGTAAACGAGTAGTGTAAAAACTTCGTTCATATAGGTTCCTTTACAAAATGTTTCAGAACAAAATGCCAATTCCTTAGAGAATGAAAAAGTTCTAGGAAAAACATGTTTTTTTTTCAATATATCACTTTACGGCTGAACGCCGAAAATTGTCTAGAGGCAATAATGACTGTGTTTACCTAGGAGAACAAATGACTGCGCGCGAACCGCGAGATTAATTTAGCAGACTCAGCACTTTTTTCCGCTCATAACGGCGCAATAAACAAAATATCATAGTTTTTGAGCGTGTTACGTTTGATTTTTTAAATTCAATTACTCACAAAATTTTTATTTTGGCCGGAAGCCTAGAAAAATTTATATAAAGTTAGCTTACCTATTTGGCATTGGGTTAATTTCTAGTCGAGATAGTTGGTCAGTCCTTTCTTAGAAAATCGGTTATTATGCAAGGAATTGAAAGTAGTCAAGCTTTTAACTTGCTAACTTGGCAATATCAAAGCATGTACGTATCAAAGAGCTACTTTTAACTATGGCTCATGCTTGATACCTACAAAAAAAAATCATATGTATTACAAAACATATCAGTTATTTACAACAGATTAAGGCTAGCTCATCTGAGAGGATTCTTGCTACCAGATATTTATCAAAAAAATAAAAAAAAAGTTGCAGAAAAATTTATTTAATTACATGTTTTCATGCAGGAAAATGTCTTATTTTTACAAGTCCGATGGTCAAGCGACAGTTTCCCAAAATAGCCTGATTCATACAGTTAACTTAGCGTAATTCTGATTTTTTATGATATTAATTGCCAACCGTCTTCATCGAAATTGGTTTAGAAAATTACAAACGGTCAGTGTCGCATACAGCGTTAGAGTCAAAACGCATGCACAAAGCCCTTTCTACCTTTATCCAGCATTGTATTTAGCACTCGATTCTGCATTATTTTGATGCAACCTTCACCTCAAATTGAGGTTCGGTAGCCTAAAGCCGATGTGGCTTCGCAAACATAAAACATATTTAGACAGAATCTTTTTAGAGTATCTTACGCCCTGCTTTCTTCTATTAACGGTACTCATGTGCATACTTCATCTGATGCGCACCGAATTCAACACAACGTAAAAATTCTTAGGTTTTTCTTTTGACGGTCTCAGATAAGAGTTATTCAAGTTTATTTGAATTTTATGATTTTCCGTATTATATTATGAACTTCTGATATCACATATTACTTCTCAGAAAGTTTTATGCATAAGAGGGTGAAATTAATACGGACGACAATTCCATGGGAATTCCTATCGTAACTTATTATTGCTATAAGGTATAAAATTTAGTCGTTGTAAGCTGGTGATGACGCACAAGAATCTCCCAAAATCAAGATCTGGGCGAAAAACAAACGTATGCGTGGAACTTTGTCCAAACATTACGACCGTACAGACCTGCACTGATGGCTTTTGCTCCGTGATCAACTATAATGAGGAACAACAGATAGCCGCTGCTGTATGTACCACTGTCTCTATTAGCAATCTATCTACTGGCGATTTCAGAAAAGATTTGGTAGCGTGGCGCCAGCCGGCTGCACGCCGTGCACATTAGCTAACAGAGCGACTTTTACGCGTTGCACCGATAGCATTAGGTGATGATGTGTAGAGTTGTTGGACTAAAGACTCAAGAAAGGCGTGCTCGGGAAAGGTCGTAGATCGTTTTGGCGACGCTCTTCAAGAGTATCTCCCTTCTTGACGGACGGGTCAACAGAACAGACACGCTATGTACGGTCTTCGTCTCAAGTGTTCTCTAAGGAGCACTTAGATGTTTTCTGTACTTTGATTACAGATCTAATGGGGTGGTGGATTACGACCTTTTCCCACATTCTCGGCTTCTCTGAAGGGTCTGTCGGGTTCCGCTTCAACGCCGCCAGCAACAGCTTTAACTACACGCGCAGTGTGCCCCATTCACATCTAGACACTTGACGCTACACAAACAACTATCCAACGGTATTCGTCGCTTGTGATTGTCTTGGTTCCTGCTCGAGATCCAAAGGCTTTTAAAGCAGATCTTTGTTCGATAAAGAGAAAGATGCTCGGCAGTCGGGGCCGGAAGAACAAAACCACGATGATACATGATCACATTAACATCAATGTTTAGAACGGGCCGCAGCTAAAGTGATTCCGTTGTAATGTACAGATGGCTGTACTAGTGATGCTATTTATTTGCGCGGACTCATACACATGCTCCAGTCATTTTGAAAAACAGTGGTCACTGATCTATAAACGTATATAAATGAAACAAGCTTCCCAATTTTTTGTTCACCATAATAATAAGTGCAGCATGCAATCGATTGAGGAAATCAACTGGCCATTATTAATTTACTGGTTTCTCTATGTTTTGACTTAGCAGATGTATTTTACATTTTGCGCTTGTAGGAAGCAATCAGAACATGGCTGCCTTTTCCTAGTATAGTAATATCTGAGAAAATCCTTCCTGCTCCACAAATACGAGGAACTTTATAATACGAGGTCTTTTTGGGGGGTGAGTCAGTGTTTCCCTTCGAGGTCTGGAAGAACGAGGCCTTGAAATATCTAATCAGTAGAAATAATATCTCAGTCAAGGGTACGACACACGTAAAACAACTCAACTAAGACCTAAACCTAATCAATCCACAGATGTGAAAAGATAACGCGAAAGTTTTGGCTGGCAGCAACTACGTTTACCGCGCGTTTGGGCGTTGAACCAGTACATTTGTACTTTGCTAACTACTCGAGCCTTCTTCTCGTATGGTTAGTAAGTCTCTGCCCCTTTGTGCCATCACAGCCTTGTGTCTATTACTGCCCGCTATCATTACAGTAAACACACATAAACACCATTGGTCCCTCGTACACTGTGTCATTTTAGCTTGACAATGTAACTCATTCATTCGGCCGCTCGGTCATTTGGAATGGGAAGGAGGTAAATACCGCTAGAGCACGCGGGCACGCGAGTCGGTTCTGGGCTGGACTTCGGTTTTGCTAAAGCCACTATTAGTACCACTGTTGCTACTGCCGATCTCGTTCCAGTGAACGTTGAGCACGTGAATCCATTAACACGAAAACCTCGCTGTCGTAAGAACACCTTGCATCCATGAAGATAAAAGTCAGAAGAGAACGAAATAGACCGAGGACCGAGTCATTATCTTGCAAATGCGACCCAGCAATAGCAACAGAACAATTAGTTGTCCCAATACTAACAAAGGGATTAATTTGCAGATGAAAGAAAACCGTATGTTTCGGTTTTGTCTGCCAGATGCTAAGTATTTTATTTGGGAGCAAACGTATAGCCGCAATCATCAAAAGACATCGAATCGCCAGAAATTCACTTTACGGAAAACGAACGATGCCGTATACCGTTCGAGCTGCTTCCTCGTGCCTCATGAGCACATAATTTTTGGACAAATTAATGAGTAACATGGACTTTGTTGGCTTTACGCCGAAATCAACGATATCAGAAATATGGTGTTCATATAGGGATGCCTCATGCTATTTCCTAACGAGGCAGCATCTACCATGTCTACCAATTACAAGAATGTAAAATTATTTATTCGTGATGAATTTTATTGAATAAGATGATATTTATGTCGCTTTCAGCCCTCAGAAGATATACGATTGCCACTATTTTGCATGTAGTATATTTAGTTTAGCGTTAAGGGCCTTCAGTCGTAACAGAAGTGGCAGGTATAAGCGTGTTACATAATTACATAATAATAATACTGATACAATAACAGCCTAGAATGGGCTTTAACAAGTAAATTTATTGATACTAAATATACGTTAGTATATGTCCCGTGCTAAATCGTTAATATTGACTCTATATGGGCGTTAACGGACGTATGGCGCTCTTGTCTTGAAATATCAAGACAGGAGGATTGAATCCTACGAGGTAAACGGAGCGCTTCATCACGCTGAAATAGAATGAACTCCTTTTAGTCCATGGCACATGGATGTAGATGAAAAAGTAACGATCTCGTAGCCAATCGATTCAATTTCAAGCCCGATTGGTAGACTGTATTTTTAATAAGATTTTAAAAATATCGCACCGAACATCTACTGCTAGTCCTAATATAAGCAGTCTCAATCTACTGTGGTTATATTATAAAGTTCATCAGTATAGTTAATTGTATATAAGTTTAATGGTTCTAATCTGTTGTTATATGATGTACGTTGGCCTTTGGGTTAAAATGAGACGGTCCTTGTTTTCGTTAACCGCCTAAACACACGAGTAATCTTCGTTTGGCTTCTTAAGGCCGCCATATCTCGAGAACGCAACACGCACATATCTAGTCACCGTGTGCCGAATATTAGGCACAACTCTTATAAGACACCGCGTTCTTCGGTTAATGAAATACTGCACGATTATTGTTGGTACTTCCATTTGCTGCTGCAAATAGATTCAGGTTATTGTTTTTAAAAGCCGAGTTAGGGCAAAAAAGCGGATATTTTTTTCTCTGGCCTGTTTCCGTACCGAGGCAATTCGGAGAAGTAATTAAGCAGTTCGGTACCGAAGTCATTGTACCGCTAGCCATTGATCGGGTAATTGAATCGCCCATGTTACTTGTCGCTATATTGAATGCCTCCAACAAAATGAGACTGACGTCGGAGAAGCCATGGGGCGTACACGATCGAGTGCCTGGAACGATTAGATGAACTGAGACCTCTGCTGTTTTAAAATAGCACCGATGTGCGAATTATAAAGTATTAATTACTTAAATATGCATGAAGACGTACCATTTAAAAGTCTTACTTTGGTTCATTCATCGAAACATTATATTTTCATTTTGCCTACGGTATTTACGATGTTATATATATATATATATAGTAATATCACTCTTGTCTGGCTAAGCCCTTGTAGATAGGTATATTCATGGCGCTCTCAACTAAAAATCAAAATATATCGAGGTCTCGAAATAGGGATTTTTGTCGAACTCACAGGGTGTCTTATAGACCAATCCCTCAATCTCAATCTTGACTCCCAAGATAAAAATTCAAGGAGAAAAAACTAGATTTCAGATCCGCTCGTAATTACTGAGGTTCTACTAAAGGCTTCAACCCGGTGGTGTTCATTGAAGTCCTTCAAGCACAAATTTGTTATCACTGCGTCACGCGATTAGTTTGGCCAAGCTGAAAATCGGTCAGTGCCCAGCGATTGCAAGAGTCTCCCATGTTAACGGTTAGCTCACAGCAACTCTGAAAAAGATCCGTTGGACGCAAGGATGGAAATCATATGCTCTAATTAGGTTATTCTCCATCTTAATTCTACTACTACAAACAAAATGATCCACTATTAATATTTAAACACAGCATTGAAGTGTCCAAACTATGGACAATAGTTGCTCGAATAATGGTTCTTCTCAGCCCCGCTCCACAGGCGCTCGACATTTGCATACAACCGCAACGACTTGAATGCAGTTAAGTAACGTCAATTTTCCCTATAGAAGCTTTCATTAGCTTGCGAGCTCAGATGTGAACAATGGCTTTAGTACGTCTGCCCTTTGATTCAGTTGCCGTGTGGTTTCAGTAGGTAAATGTAAATGCTGTGCGTAATAGCATGCATGTTTTTTTAAATCTTTTTTTACTCCTTTTCTGTTTTTTTTTTCTATTTCGACACATATTGTCATTCTTTTTCTTAGAAGACTACTGGTTTAAGAGAGACTGGCACTAAAGCGATTAGGTACTTAATATGTTTCCTATAAAGGATTGATTGAAAGCGCTCCAGGCTGTCTCAGCGATGTTCCGGGTAGCCTTTCTGGAATACTTAAGATCAGCCAACTGTCTTCATGTTTTTCCTCACGAGGTTAGCCTTCCTCATTTTCCCAGTCCTCGATAAAGGGAATTGATTGTAGCTTTATTAGAGTGTCACTAGGCCCCGCGTCCTTCGTGATAGTTTAATGGGTGATATATTTGCATGCTAATGTTGGGGACACATTGTGCTCTAGCCTCGAACCTGGGCATAGAGAGACTTCGTTTCGTGCCGGAAGCCAGCCGTGTGTCTAACGGAATGTGCAACGGCGATACCGGGCATAAAACCCAAAGCCTAGCGGAACGATCGGTAGCACGTAAACGGTGTCCTTTCTGATATTCGACAGTCGTAATCGAGCACGTAATTGTGTTTAGTGCTTAATGAACATAAACATTTAGACGTGTGACAAAGTGGACACCTGTTTTTGCGATGAAAAAGGAAGACGGTGCAAAACACGCAAATAATGTTTTCCCTCCTTATTTTATATTTTACCCTAAAATATCACCGTTTTCCTTTAAGTTCATAACAGGACTGGGCATGCTTTTAACGCGCTCTTCGGGGCAGGGTTTGTATGTGCACCAGGGCGATTTGCCACCGATAGCGAATGTAACATGCGGACTTCGCGTAAAGCTGAGCTGTACTCTAGTGGTATACTTTTTTTGGAAACAGCGGATTCGTATGCCGAAAATTCGCTGGAATCCTATTATACCTCAACTTTGTCCGCCCGATCAACCGTTTTTTTTTGTATCCGCAGTAACGCGAACCCTTTTCAAAAGTCGACATTAGTATAAGAGTTTATTTTTTAACAAATGTGCAACTATAGGACTACATTAGTCTGCATATGCTTTAGCAGATTAGAGTGGAATACCTGCTGGCTTGAAGCTCCCGACACTGCTGCCTACGCTATCATATAGAAAAAAAAAATAGATGCCTATGTCTTAGTGCTAAGGACATTTTTAAATGTGCATTATTCCATAAAAAGATGTATACATGCGTTGATCACAGTTTCGCTTTACGCGTTGTTGTACATCATTGAAAATTGACAGTAACGGGTTGTTTGACATAATTATTCGCCCATAAACGGATTACCCGTGTAATCTAACACATAAGCAAATTTTCAGAGTCCATCTGGCTTTGATCAGTTTATTTGAAGAATTATTTAAGCTTAATTTATGATTCGTTCTAACTGTTTAAGATTGACAGCAATAGATCTACTACCAATTATAGCTAGTCTGAGGCTGTAACGATCGGTATAATTATCTGTATTTAATCCTATTCAGCGTTATAGGTCCTAAACCCATCGCAGAGCATGAGAGAAATGAGCAGTTGACTTTCACATCAAAAAACCTGTCGCCTAAAATGCTGGAGCTAAGTTGACATCGGTAGTACGAAATCAAAGCGCCACTCCACAGTGAATCTTTTATTGCTGCATGCGTATTATTGAGACAATATCCTTACAAACCATTTTATCCGTAATTTTGAAGCTGACTACCGCAAAGCAAACCAGATAGATGGGTGACTATATTTGCCATCTTTATAGACCGAAGCCCTAGAGTACACTACAGAAACTTACTTTTTTTTTAACTGAACGGGAATGATGCTATTCACAAGTATGTACTACTGTCAAATCGAATGCGTAAGCCTCTCCCACGTACCACAAAAGATATGTTATCCTTAATTCTTGATTTTGGTACCATATATCTAAAAAACGATGAAGAGTTACGTGTGTAAAGAATGCCCTTTCTCTGGCATATTATTGCCTTAATTGGGTTCGTTTCGGTTTTTCTCGCAGGCTTATCCTGCTGACTGACAAACGATTCTCATATAGATCCAAGGTGCCTCTTTAGAGATGATCGTTCATATTAACAATGCGCAGCACTGTATCACGGACGATCGTATGCATTACGCCGGTAACCTAGAATTTGCTAGCACTCGACGCCAGCTAATTTTTATTAGAACTGCAACAGTCTGATCAAAATGTACGCTTCTTCAGCCGACACTAAACGTCTCTTTCGGCGGCGCGTGATACGTGCCGCCAATTCACTGAATCTTAGTAAGTGTCTGAGACAAAGCCGTCGCAAGACCTAGTTAAGTGAAGAACACACCCGCTGCTAGGAGGTGTAAGGTTGAGCAAAAATTTATGAAGACCCTCTAAAAGTACAAAGAAATTTCTTTTTCGTCATGGAGCTAACACGTCCAAACGTAACCCCGTGCGGTGACCGCAAGAAGTCAATGTCACACATTGTATCAAACATATCCCTCAACTAATCCATAGTTCTAAGATGTAAAATGTAACCGGAAAATTTCAAACTGTACTTCGTTGATACTTAACTTGAAATGACTTCTTTAAACTAGCCAATAACTAGGATCTAACGTTTCATTACTGAGAACGCTGTACCTAGTCGGTCTTCAGAAGTATGATTTGGGCTTCGCCTTTATAATTGTGTATCTACACGCTATTCACGAATCGATTTACCTGGTTGTGTTCTGTATGATAAGCGCTCAATTAAGCTGGGATGGCTATAGATTGCTTGTACGTAGTTACCTGCTTACATCAGTTCCGGTAGCGAGATGTTTTGAACAACGATGTGGTATATCGAAACAATCGTGGAATTGGACTGCTAACGAATCATTTTGTTAGACTGAGCTCGAGCCGCGTCATCGCCCATCACAATAATCGAACGCGTCCTGTTTGTTCATTTCACCGAATAGCTCATTATAAGGTTTTTGTATAGGTCTGCTTAGTCACAGCGCATTAAGATCGAGTTTGCCCGGATATCTTTTCTCGACGGTATAATTGACTCTCAAGATGTGTGTCAGAATGACCTGACTTAAAATGCAAGTTTTTTGTTCGTCTAATGATTTCCTCAATCTAATTTTAATGCAATGCGTTCTCGCATCACAGACAAATTCAGTTCTAAGCACACTGACGATTTTCCTAAATTAGTTCGAAAACAATAAGCTGTAATTTCGAAATACTGCTATGACCGTGCTCCATTTGATTTTGAGCGCGCGCAGTACTTCGAACTGTAACTTCGAATATTATTAATTATATCTTCGTGGCACAAGTTCCGGTCCTCCTCTAGCCTAGACGTTTCGACACTCCATAAGCAATAAACTAAGCAAAACAGGTAAGTAGGAATCTTCTGGACAAATGTAATAAAATCGAACATCGATTAGTATTTGTAACGACTTCATGGGGCCAAAATCTCTCATCATTTATATTTTCCTTAAAGCCTTTTTGCGCATAATGTGTCAGGGGCTAATTTTGAATAGAAAATGTTATGACATTCGTGCTGACCCGCTACAAGTTAATGTTTTCACTTTAATTTGAGAAAGTACTTTTATTAAAGGCTATTGTGTAATCTCAGTCGTTTGGTTTATTGACTTCCTAGTAGTGAACAGTAAAAATATCATCGTAACTTAACTGCGGTGGATGAAACCTTCACGTGTACGATGAATGGGTTAAGGTCAAAATATACATGCAACGATATCTGTATTGAAAAATATCACAAAGCTTGAGCACATACTGCTGCAATGACTGTCATCGCTGAAATAGCTCGTTAAACACCTACATTCATTGTGGTCCATTAAAAGCATGTCGTAGAGAATACGCCTCTCTGCCTGAAACTGGCTTGTCTGATCGCTGTCAGTAGTATTACTCGGTAAAATCAGTTGATCTGTGGGCTTTAATTTTCTCTTACGGATTCATATCCCGCTGATGATCTGCCGAGGGCAGTTCCACTATTACGGTTCGAGTGGTCCTAATGATTTGACCGCAAAGAGCTGCAATGCCCCCTCGCCGTTAACGGTTAGGTGAATGACGCACTAGCTTCCCTCAATCAGGTGTGCGACATCATTAAGGTTAGGCAGATAAAACTCGCTAGCGGGTATATAATTTGTTTTAGGTGACTGACTCTAACCAAGCGGATCGGCAGATATAGGAATTTTTGGCTACACAGCGAAACAGCCTGCAACAAAAAACTTGTTTACTCCACGAGCCCACAGACCATTTTCCGCTGTTCTAATAAAGTTTATGCGCACAAAGAAATTGCAGAAAATCAAACCTATGTTATAAAAATTTTAATGGTAATGAAAACCGAAGCTGATCATTCAGTTATCAAGGATGTACTGTGACGGTAATTTTCATGGGTGCCCACGTTGAGATTTGAATGCGTGTTTTTTATTTTTAGTTTTTTATTATTTATATTCAATTTTATTATTATTGGGTTAGATAGCAATTATTGGGTTGGGTAGCAATTTCGAGGTGACCATTCAATCATCCCGTTTCCTTGATTTTATAACAGAAGCTAATGAGCACGCGTTCTGAAACATCAAATTGATGTTAAAACTCTGGCAACATAATCGGCTTGCAAAAAAGAATAAAGCTCAATTTTCTATTCGAAACAGAAGTTCCTGCAATAAATTATCGCTTCTTTCAACTTCCTCAGGGTTCTTACCGTGAAGATAAGTTGGCCCTCTTGGACAAGTACGGGGCCATCTTGACAACTGCAAACGCATAATTAATCACCGAAAAATGGGGGCGAAAGTTTTAGCAGTGATGGACTTTAATAGCGCGAATATCTCCTAGATATGAAGGATACGAAATCAGTCAGCTTTTTTCAATCTTTATTACGACTTTTAACGAAAATGCAATCTTACCGTTCAGCTTGTTTACATTTCGTAAAAATTCAAGTGTCATTTTTAAAGCTCCGAACTTTAAACAACGAACACGCTTGCACCCATTGTATTAACGTACCGGACAGTTCAGACATCTATAAATCGACCGAGGGCGGCAACCTGACATCGCTGCAAATCACGTCCAGACTAAATGGACTATAATGGATATAAATACTATAATGAATAACATTTGTTACACATCATAAAAAATTTTAGTATGGTTTTCTTTTTTTTAAATTAGACTACTCGTATGATTATCCATGTATAAACTGCATTTAACGAAAACTTCTTTTCGTAATATTTGTGATTTTACGTACATACAGTATTATGAGAATATATGTACTCTGTTGGTGGTCATCAATTTGACAAGAAAAGGCAAGCCAAGCTGGAATAAGCTGCAAGCGCCAGCCGGTGTATAACGTTGCTTTCGTCTTTTAAGATTTTAACGAATAGTGCCTATTCTGCTGTAAACTCACATTCGGTAGTTGCTACAGTTAACCACGTTACTCCTTCTATGGCGTCAACTTATTATGGCATCAAGTTCTATCGTGTCACACATCTACACCGCGTAGGCTATACAGTAGAATATAGTGGCTAAACTACGTCATACTTCGTCACCGGACATGGCATTAGAACGTAGTTTCCCGTTTTCTTGAGAATAATGGTTCCAAAAGCGCAGACAAACGGACCATTAAGCCAGAGTTGGCATTTGCTCGAAGGCGAGCGACCCTTAGTCCACATCGTTGCAAGCTTAAGCTGCCAACAAAGGTATGGTGACGCCGGCGAAAAGGAGACAATTTACGAGCATTAATCATGCGAGAATGCCATATGGCGATAAGGAACGAGCCAGCAGGAAAATCGAGGGGGCAGCATAATGATGAAGGGAACTAACTGAGAGAGAATGAAGGCACTAGGGCGCATACGGGTGTCGACTCCGCATAGGGCCGCCCTTCTCTTGGCCGAGCCTGCCGTCGCATATGTCGTAAACGACAAGAATGTTCGTGCTGCACCAATCCCCGAGCTGGCAAGCAAGAAAATGGCCGCCTTCGTCGGCTAGACGCTATGGCGCGGCATGTTGTTCCCTCGTGGGGTCAGTGCTCGGGTCCTCGATGCTGTAGAGGTCAAAAAGCGCAACAATGCTGGAAAAGACACGAAAAGATAATGTTTGGAGGTAACAGTGACGGTCCTAACTCGCGCAAGGACTTTTTTCCGCCAAAGAGTCCCGGTCGAAGTAGAGTTACTGATATTATGGGAAGCCAATGTACTGCTGCAGCCGTACAGCAGTAATAAAATTGGCCCAACACACAACCATGTCAGTCTCGTACTAGAAAGTCGACGTTGAAGCTAAACTGCTGACTCTACAGAAACGCAAAAACGCATAGATAGTCTCGTGTTGTCTATAGTAAGAAACGATCTAAAAAAGTCGAAATCGATACTATCTATTCCCGTGTGCTTTGTCTTATATGAACAATACGTTTGACGGTTACAGTGATGAGTAGTAACATCGCTAGCCACTCAACAAATGAGATTAGATTAAGCTCTTCGCGCAGGTCCTACGTAATCTATTTATACATATTTGCTATACCGTAGACAAAAAATTCAGCTGTCTAACAATCATGTCGCTCGCAGTAAGCTTTCTACAAGTACATAGGTGCTTACATAAGAAAGAGAAGAAGTAGCGAAACACCTCATTACATATATATACATAATATAGTACATCTCAATATATGGCCGTATATGTATATGGTCGTATATTGAAAAGACCAGGCAAATAAATTTGCAGGCATCGTGTGCTGAATTTATCCCTTCAACACAAATTCGAAGTGCTACCTAGTTTAATCTCACCTTTTAAAGCCCAACGTCATGAAGTCCACAGAACTACAACTCAAACTAGAACATTCCCATAAACACAGAACGTAGGTAAACGGTTCTGTTGGCGACAATTTTTGTCTTCGTCTCAGCAAGTAATCATACAAGTGGTAGTCGAGACGTAAGTATGCTTTCAAGTATAAAACAGAGAAAGGCAGTAACGAAAAAGAGGCTGCAAGCCTTAGTAGATAAAGGTCAAAACGAACCTGAACCGGCCATGCATTACTAGCTCTTGCAGTATCTCGTCGCCGTATGCTTCCTGTTCGCTGGCAGCATATCGCTTTACGAAAAGGCTGCTCAGGGATTTTTCGGAACAAGGACAGAATCGAGGATGCCGGAACAATAGGCAAACGTGATTCAAAAGAGAGTACCTTCCGTCCAAGCGCTGCTCCTACTGGCGAAGATCGCGAACTTTTACGCTAACGTTAACTAGTTGGAACGACTGGTACAGTGTGCTGTTTTGTGTTTGAAAGCACTGATTGCCTTGAGTTGCGGGAAGCACATGACGATGACAACGCCCGTCTCCCTAGGCACTTCGTGTCCTCACCGAAAAGGCTTTAGCCTTCGACGAACCTAAGAATTATACCTTTCAGCACCTGACATATAATGGTATCGCTGTAACTGACAGTCTCAGTAAGAAAAATGGGGAGCGGCCAGCCAACATTAAAACGGTTTCTGTCAATCTTCGACGTGTTATCATCGCCTGATCTTCCAAGCTTTAAATAAAATAAAGGTACTGTATGATTTATGACAATGATCTTGTGAAATTCTGCAAAGCTGTGTGGCCTTCTAGTCTAGAAGCTGATAGGTTTTATGTTAATATTGAAACGCTAGCAATATAACCCTATTTGAAGGAGCAGTCAGCAGAATGGAAGTTAGGTATTGATTGAAATATTGATACTATACTGCTGAGTTCGCTTACTTATAGAGAAATCGAAAAAACAAAAACGAGTAGTATAGGGCAGAACACTTCCAATGAGAAGTTTAATTACTAGTAAATTATTTACTTTCCCAACGGTGATATAAAAAACTATTTAATTAGTTTGTTAAAATTTAGATATTATAGATAGTGTATTACGCGATTTCCTAGTTGAACTATAGCTATTATTTTATTGCTCTATTAAATTAAGCTCCAGAAAGTGGTGTAACGCATTTTTGTGATGACATGAAAGTAGCGGCCAGTCAACCATATTCAAGGGCTAGGTGTCCTAACACGAACCTTGCTAAAATGTCTTCGGTGTAACAAGAACGGTGTCGATGCTAGCGACTGTCTTGGTAAGCATTCTCCCAGGATCTTATCAACAAACACAGGTAAAAGCATTGCAAGAAAATATTTTGTTGGTCTTAACTGGCAGAAAAAAGGTGGTGTTTGGGCAGTACTTACCTTGA